TAGTTTTGTTTGAGCATGGTTTGAGAGAGAAGTGACGGTGCGATTTGTTTATTTATTCGTTGACAATCAATACGAACAAAGACCAAAGAGTTTTTCAAGCCCACATAATGGGTTAACTTACACAAATGTTCATAAGAAGTCCAGGAGGATGTAGTTTAACGATGCATATTTCTTTTAGCCTTTGTTGTGCTTTAAAATAGAAGGACTATATTTTAATTTCAGTATACTGTGATACAGAGTTTTGGAGTCTGTCTTCAGATTAACTGTCTGGTTCTCGGCTTTTTTTTAAACTGAGACTCACAGATTCATCATCATAACTATTTTTAACAAAATCACTGTGAGTGTACTTTATGGTGGCCCGAACCTATTTATATGCGCGTTGGTTATGTTTTTGAATCGCGTTTTTCGGCAGGAACGATTTAACCGATTTCTATGATTTTTGGCACCCTTAATAAAGAATGGTGCAACTTTAAGAAAATGTTATTTATTTTCTTGTATGTATAAAAACGTTTGAGATATCGGTATATCTTTAAAACCGCATTCTTACGAAAAATATCAATAACCTCGAAACTCTACGACAGATTTTTCTCTAACTTCAGCAAATAAGCCTCAGAGCTCTCTAGTTTTATATCTGCAAATTTGAAGTCAATCGCGACCGTAGAACTCGCTGCACAAAATGTTGGTCAAATTTAACTTTAAAATGCAACGCTAACACATTTGTGAAAGTTGCCACACAAATAGAGGAAGAGTGCCGACGGACTATCTCCTACCTGCAAGGGTATTCTTGCCCATAGCTTTATTGCAAGAAACTGAGTAATCAGAAACCTACGGAAAATACAGTTCGCAATACAAGAAGAACAACTTTATGCTGAATGCGGGGCAAGATTAAAGAACTTCCAATCATCAAACTTACTTTGTATTTGTCCCTATCTTTTCGAAGCCAATCTTGACAAAGCAAAATATAGCATCTACGAAAAACTGTCGACAGTTTTCAGCGTCGCAGGTTTCCGTTTTTAAGATAAATAAAGCCACCGACTCCAGTACTCCTAAACAACCATTTTTCAGCTGCACTGAAAGCCCTTATACTTGGTAATAGCCTGCGTAGCTGGCGGTATTGTGTAGTAGTTGAGTGAGATTTGGCGGCGGAACCGTTGTAATATAGTCGAGTGAGATTTGACGGCGGAGCCGACACGAGCGGCGAAGCCACGAGAAATACCGCCTGCCAGAGAACCATGATTTTTCGAATGCCGCCCACTTTTGTCACCTTAGCTAATCCCAATTAAATCAGCCAATCAAAGAGAAACCTGCAATTTGAAACTTCCGATTATTTTGACGCGAGACAGTTCAGAAATAAGCGTTGACAGGCTAAACACGACTCCTAAGCTCGTGATAATGTGAAACGTGACCTTTTGAGTTTGCTTGAACAGAGGTTTTTTTATTTTCTGGGCTCTCGTGCGAAGGTTACTAGCACTACACAGTGCATGTATCATTCTAAACTTTGACTGAGTAAATCTTTTTTTGCCACACTAGGCTTAACATTAAAAGGTCATGAAGCTGCTTTGTTACATGCATACTGAGTAACCATTTCCTGTGGTTTATTCTTCTGTAGGTGTAGTGTTCCTGATACGATTTGATCTCAGATGCGGTTGTAATGTGTTTTAATTTTCTTTGACTTTTGTTTCTTACGGCTAAATAAAAACAATTCCTGCGCTGTGAAGTTTAAAGACGCCATTTCGGCAATTTGGTCAACAATCATGCTCTTTTTAAAGGGGAAACCACAATCACTTACGTCTTTTTCAGTTTGCCATCTGCTCCCTTAATTGGGAAATATATGCGAAGGATCATCTAACATGATTGACAGATGTATGGTCCTCGACCAATCCGTTTCTCCGCACACTGGTGTGCGGACTATTCAAAATACCGGGGTTTTCTGGCAGGCGGTATTTCAACCGCCTCGTCGCTACTCCTTTTTTTTGGAACACGGCTCCGCCGCCAAAACTTTAATCTGGCACTTACACAATACCTCCAGCTAGGCAGGCTAACTTGGTAATTTATTCAAGCTTTTTAGACTTCTCATCACATTCGCACGGGAAATTTGGCCCTTGGGGATAAAGATGAAGAAAAATGTGACAATCGCCTTATTCTTCTCATTATCCCCAATGGCAAACTGCCCGTGCGAACGTGATGGCAAATCTAACAAGCTTGAATAAATTACCAAATAAAAGGATTTTCGTTTCAGCTGAAAATGGATCGGTTGAAATACTGGAGCTGGTGGCTTTATTTCTCCTCAAGACGGGAACTTGTACTGCTGTACAGTACCGCAAATGTTCCCCAACCGTAAATGATCCCGAGACCGCAAATGATCCCCAAAATGGACCGCAAATGACCTCGACCGCAGGGTGATCCCCAAAGTCGACCGCAAATGATCCCGGCCGTGAAAACTTGAAGAATGGAATGGATTTTATGGTACTGATTACAAAAAAAGGACTGATTATAACAAAGAAACCTTTTTTATCGCCTTCTAAAGAAAAAGGGAAGGAGAACGCTACATCTCAGGCCAATTTAAACAAGGCCAAAAAAAAGGAATAAATCTGAAAAGGATATGGTATCAACGGTAACCGTAGCCTGCAGTGCAGGCGTTTGCTTCGGGCGCGCGAATGTTTTGCTCGCGAAAGCGCATATTGAAACGCCTTCCTTCTTTCGCCCTAGCACCTACCCTTAGGGTTAATATTTTTACTCTCCCTAATCTTCCTCCGTCGTAACAAAGATGGCGGTTACAACAGGACAACAGTACGAACATACTGACAAGCAGCTTTCGCCCGCTCAAAATACGCCTTCACGGCAGGCTACTGTAACCGTATACTTCTTCCTTTGTCAATTGCTTTAATTTTCTTTCAAAAATGTTTCGTCGCGGAAAATTAAGACAGGCAGGACGTTACGCAGAAAAAAACTCTATTATTTTAACGCCAAGAAGCTCAACTTGTCTGTTCAGGAATACAAAGCCGGGCACCCTCTACATAACAAGAGCTTTATTGACTTAACTGATCTTCAGTTGTTGGAAGTGCCGAATTAATTTTCAGAATATTTAATTTTGATTTTTCTCTGGTGTTAATTTTACGTGATAAACAGCAAGACATTAGTTCGTAACTTGGGTGCCCGTTACGAAACAGGACATGATTTAAAATAACAAACGTCAAAATCCCCCGAACTTTTCAATGTCCACAGGTTTCGGTTTATTTCGAAATAGCAACTTGCTTACAGTTCATGAACATGTTGCGAATAGTTATATTGACCCTTATATGTATATTCATTTGTTGTGCCTTTGCTGGAGACAGTTACTAGGAATCTAAACCTAGTAATGAGAAACGCGAAAGCGAGGTAAGCAGTAGTTATCGTGTGACAAAACATCGTAGGAACCGTCACATTCACGGACTAAAAGAAAATCGCTTATAATTATTCGGATCCAGGAGGCACTTTGGAGAAAATTAAACAACCCAAAACCCTTATTTAGCCGCAATAAAGGGCATTGCATTTCAAAAGAGGTCAAAGGAAATGCTCTTGCGTCAAAGGGCAAATCATGCCGACCAGAAACAACAATAACCGCAGAAAATGCGTGTCATGACCTCTCAGTATGAAATAGGCGGCAAAAATCCCATTTGCTCAGTCAAAACGTTTTCCTTCAGAGGTGTAATCTACCCACCAGAGGAAAAAATTCATTGGAACAAGCAGCATTTTAGCATGAGGTAAAAGTCGTGTGTTGCCTACCGACTTCGTTTTTACACTTGAATGATTTTTTTCATTTATTTTTTATTTATGTATTTGAGAAGTAAAATTTAGCGCTAATCTGACTTTTTGTAATAATAATAAGATCGACACGATGATCCGCTAACTTGAGTCCAAGCCATTCCTATTTTGCTTTCGGAGTCATTTGCAATCGACTTTGGGGATCACCATTTGCGGTCCATTTTGGGGATCATTTGCGGTACTGTACTGCTAAAAACTGGTGGGGGATTTCTGTAGATGCTATATTTTGCTTTGTTGGGATTTTTCTTCGAAAAAAGAAGGGCGAAAACACAGTAACTTTGATACATAGAAGTTCTTTAATCTTGCCCCGCATTCAACATTAAGTTGTTCTTCTTGTATTGCGAACTGTATTTACCGTAGGTTTCTTATTACTCAGTTTCTTGCAATAAAGCTTTGGGTAAGAATAACCTTGCAGATAAGAGATAGACTCATAGTCTGTCGGCACTCTTCCCCTACTTGTGCATCAACTTTCACACTCCCGTCGATCGCATCTTCTCCATATCAAGTAATATCGGGAACAAATGTGTACAATTCGTCCAAATATACAACAATGATCCACGCTCAATTATTTCAACGTCCTTTTAACAATTCCAAGTCCATTTCTTGCAGATGATATTGTCAGTGTTCTTTAGAATATTTCCATTTATCCAAAACCCATCTTCGGCTGGCTACTCTTTTGTGTCGGGGAAAAAAATGTACGCCCTACTAGTACCCTCTAGAATGTGCCAAACATGTGCGTAAAAGGCACATGCGTACGCGTAAAAGTAAGGGAGGTAAGAGTAAAGAGTTTAATTTCACTTTAATGAATAAATTAATGAAAATCGAGTGAGTGAGTGAGTGAGTGAGTGAGTGAGTGAGGGAGTGAGTGAGTGAGTGAGTGAGTGAGTGATAGTGCACTTCAGTCGAGTGCCTCCAAAAGCCCATGGCATGACTACGTCATCCATGAGCTAAAAATGTGTCGTAGGATTTCGAAGTTATTGACATTTTTTGTAAAATGCGGTTTTAGACATATGCCGATATCTCGAACGTTTTCATACCTACAAGAAAATAAATAACAGTTTCGTAAAGTTGCACCATTCCTTATTAGGTGCCAAAAATCATAGAAATCGGTTAAATCGCTCCTGCCGAAAAACGCGATTCAAAAACATAACCAACGCGCAAAACGTAGGTTCGGGCCACCTTAATTTAAACTTACTTGCATTATGTCCTACTTTTTCTGTACCCACTGCCTCCTGCGATAAAAAAGTTATGACACTGGTCAAGTCTAAGAACAATCTACAAGGCCCCTTTACATACCATAACATATTACGACACCGAGAGACCTATCTGCTGCGATCTATTTATTTAATGCCTATATATTGTTTGGTTTTTTTGTCGCATCAAGACATTAGCCAAGGTCGTTTAAATCATTTTCTATCTCTTGGTTAGAAGCTGTGCCTGCAGGGAACATCACCCTCATAACTGCACCACGAAAGAATTAGATTCGCTCTGATGAAGGGCAAGCATAGCCTGAATTTCATCCGATTACTTCGAGTCGTTATTACTCCCTCAGTAACGTCTGAATCGACCGGCCGTTAATGCCGTCCAGTGACGTCACTACTCCTTGGCCTTTGCTTTAATTCATGCAAAAAGTAAAACACGATTTTCAAGTGGCAAACCGAGAAATATCGTTTGGAAATGTCTGCATGATACAGAATTGCTTTATTTTTTTCGATCGTAATTCATGTTTAACGTTCAAACTATCAACTGCATGCAGTACAACTCTGAACCGGTTGTACTGAATTCTATAATCAAACTCGGTCGCAATCACGCAATGAAATAAACACACACACGGAACACTTAGTTCAAAAACACAATGATTTGCTTTAATTGAAAAGAAGCTCTTTGGTCCTTGACGAAGAAAAAAAACAAGGAAACAAGAAAGAAAAGCTAACAGAATCATTACACTTGACGGTGAAAATAGCAAGAAGGTCGAATTATAACATTGATCTCAGAAAATTTCGCGTAAACAAAATCACCGGCCGCCGAAACCACAAAGCGGCTCTAAATGAAAACCTACCGACTCTCCACAATGATTCTTCGTTCGCAGTTCAATTTAGCATTTCAGTTTCGAAGACAAGGGCAATTTTGCTGTTTAAGATAAAGACATGAATCACCGTAAGGCGATTTTTAACTGGGCTGCAAAGGGGCTATTTTTTCTGAGGGAAGGGGGCGAATATCACTGACACTCAGGCGACAATAAAACCTTGTCGCCGACCATTGCGTAAGACAGAATCTCATGTGAGACTGAAACATAAACTCAATCAGAACATTGTACCCTTTTGAAAGACTTTCGTAACAAAAAAAAAGAGTACCATTTTTAAGTGGGGGCTGTATAATAACTTTTAAATTCCACCATTATGAATAAAAATAAACAAGTTAGCCATTAATTCTAAGCAGGAAACGATTTGCATTATTTTCACGCACCCAAACCAAAATCTCGTGACAGTATAATGTGAATAATTTGACGTAACCGGAAATTCCACAAATATTGTCGTTCTACGAGTATAAAATGCGACAGACTGAGCTGATTTACACTAGGATTATTGTATTGTATGAAAACCAAAAGTATACTAAAACAGACAGCCAACTGTCCATTGATCCCGCCTGATCCAGGAGCCTCACAGACTGCACTGAGACTTTACTGTGCTTTTCACAAACATGCGAACTCTAAAGTTCAAAAGCCACTTTCACAATTGCGTTTTTCGCTGCCGTCAATCATAATTACGATCACAAGCAACGAACTTTGAAAGAGAGAAACGCACAAAACGGATCGAAATCCACCAATCACAAATCACAAACCATCACCTTTTGAACCCGTGAAGTAAAGTTGAGTTTCGTAAGAGGTCCGTTAAGATGATTGACAGCAGCGAAAAACGCAATCGTCGGTTGGCTTTTGAACTTTAGAATTGGCATGTTTGTGAAACGTGCAGTAAATAGACGTTCCTAATTTGCGGTCTACACTACATGAAAACCCACTATTTTTTCCACAACATAAAAAGTGTTCAGTTTTAAGACTTTCCTCCTGGTATTTTTCTCTAACTTAAACGACTAAAATCCTTTGCATTTTGTGAAAAAAGTTTAAAGATTTCTCGCTCGCATGTTGCTTTCATCAGCACGCACTTCAAACAATGTAAATAGATGAAACGCTCGATAACATATTTTTTACCTGATACCGATATGAGTTAAAAATTCGCTGCAGTCTTACCCACGACTAACTTTTCTTCATGGAAGATAACTATGCCGCTTTATAACTCCTCCGAAGTTTTTGTGCTAATTAAACTATATGGAAACACTATTCACAGGGCATACTGTATTTCGAGGACTGGACTGGACTGGACTAGTAGAACGCGGACTGGTAAGACGCAGACTAGTAAAACGCGGACTGGTAAAAAAAAAAAGACGTCCGCAGGAGCCTATCCTGAGTCCGCGTGTTACCAGTCCGCGTTTTACTAGTCCGCGTTTTACCAGTCCGCGTCTTACTAGTCCTCCTTTTACTAGGCCGCGTTTTACAAGTCCAGTCCAGTCCAGTCCAGTCCACGAAATACAGTATGCCGAATACAGTCCTTGGATATTAAAAAGACTGAACGTGACGCACTATTGTGCCTTTGTTTACTTCTGACCACATCTTCAAGCGAAGTCTCTCTTTTCAAGCGATTCATCTCGATGCACAATAATTGACCCTTATATTAATTAAAACCCTATGGTTCATTCATATTAATGCTGTTTTTGCCCCTCACATTGACTGTGTTCGTTCGTATTCAAAACACCATTTGGAAAATAAAGGTCGTATAAATCATGTGTATTCTATTATGTTTCGAGATAAATGGATTATACGCTTTTTTAAGTTTCCATTTTGCGGTGACTTCAGATTACATCTCCATAAAATGGTAGAAGAAATATCTAGAAACATCACGAGAGCGGAAAATTTTCGAAGGCATGTTATTATGAAACTCGCTAATGCTACCTGACATCAATATAGCGTGCTTGCTGAATGGGCGAAAACACTGAATTGTGATAACAAGATCATGCACAAATTTAATGATAAAAGCTTAGCAAGATACAGATGCAAACAAAAGCAAACCCCCTGAAACCTCGACCTGGGCTACACTTGTATGCTCTACTCAGTAACCAAACCTTGTCTGTAATATCCCCCATTTTCCTCAAGTTGGTCTTTGTGAAGCTCCCGGTGGGATGTCCCGGTGAAGCTTTGAACTTGTGTGCGAAATTCTCAAAGTTCCTATTTGTGTCCGTGTCTTCTTTATCCCCAGTATCCGAAATTTAGACCTCCAAAGTGGCGTGTGTTGGATTATAAATAGAAGGAAATATTAAAAGGAAAAGCCAGTCTTTTAAGATGGCAAAGTTGACACGTCCCTCGCTCATGGACGTTCATTTCTTAACATCAGGATTCATCTGACATTCGCCGGCAACTGAGTTGTTCGCTTCAGTGAGTACGACAGCTTACAGTCAAGTCTTTAACGACAGTGTTGTCAACTGGTGAAATACTTTGCTCATAAATTGTGCTTATTAATTGCTCATGTACTACATCGATCGATAATTCTCTCTTTGAGTTCACGAAACTGCCCCAGCGTTCCAAACCTGACGCTCACAGTGATCTTTTAGTGTGAACCTACCGTGAACGGCGTGTGGGTTTGTATGCAACGTGAGCATTTCTCTGAGTTTCCCAGCGCCAACATCATCAACTGACTTAAACTCGAACAATGACAAAAGTTATAAAGTGACTCCTATGATCAAATCGCTTCGAACAACGCAAATAGCCTTCTTCAGGTTCGCAACGCCTTCTGGGTTTTCCAGGGGAAGCGGAGAGGAGGTACAACAAGAATCGCCGAAAGGCGATTTTTAACTGGGCTGCCAAGGGGCTATTTTTTCTGAAGGGAGGGCGCGGCTATACATACTCAGGCTACCATAAAACCTTGTCGGCAACCATTGCATGCGACAGAACCTCATGTGAGACTGAAACATAAACTCATTCAGAACATTGTACCCTTTTGAAAGACTTTCGTAACCAAAAAAAAAAGAGTACCATTTTTAAGTGAGGGCTGTATAATAACTTTTAAATTCCACCATTCTGAATAAAAATAAACAAGTTAGCCATTAATTCTTAGCAGGAAACAATTTGCATTATTTCCACGTACCCCTCCCCCAATCCCTCTGTGCTCCAAAATATAGCGTGACAGTATAACGTGACTAATTTGACGTAACTGGAAATTCCAAAAATTGTTGTCGTTCTACGAGCATAAAATGCGACAGACTGAGCTCATTTACACTAGACAGAAATATTGTATTGTATGAAAACCAGAAGTATACTAAAACAGACAGTTAACTGCCCATTGATCCCGCCTGATCCAGGGGCCTCACTGACTGCACGGAGACTTTACTGCGCTTTTCACAAACATGAGAACTCTAAAGTTCAAAAGCCACCTTCACAATTGTGTTTATCGCTGCCGTCAATCATAATTACGATCACAAGCAACGAACCTTGAAACAGAGAAACACACAAAACGGATCAAAATTCATACAAACCATGACCTTTTGAGTGAAGTAAAGTTTTGTTTCCTAAGAGGTCCGTTAAGATGATTGACAGCAGCGAATTTTTTTCCATAAGATGAAAAATATTCAGTTTTAAGATTTTCCTCATGGTATTTTTCTCTAACTTAAAGGAATAAAATCCTTTGCATTTTGAGACCTAAAAAAGTTTAAAGATTTCTCGCTCGCATGTTGCGTTCACCAGCACGCACTTCAAACAATGTAAATAGATGAAACGATCGATAACATATTTTTTACCTGATACCGATGCGAATTAAAAATTCGCTCCAGTTCTGTTTGTCTCACCCAAGACGAACTTCTCTTCATGGAAGATAACTATGCCGCTTTATAACTCGTCCGAAGTTTTTGTGCCAGCTAAACAATATGGAAACACTATTCACAGTGACTCCTTGGATATTAAAAAGACTGAACGTGACGCACTATTATGCCTTTGTTTACTTCTGATCACATCTTCAAGCGACGTCTCTCTTTTCAAGCGATTCATCTCAGTGCATAATAATTGACCCTTATATTAGTTAAAACCCCATGGTTCATTTATATTAATGCTGTTTTTGCCCCTCGCATTGACTGTGTTCATTCGTATTCAAAACACCTTTACGAAAATAAAGGTCGTATAAGTCATGTGTGTTATGTTTCGAGATAAATGGATTATACGCTTTTTTAAGTTTCCATTTTGCGGTGACTTCAGTTTACATCTCCATAAAATGGTAAAAGAAATATCAAGAAACATCACGAGAGCTGAAAACTTTCAAAGGCATGTTTCTGAAACTCGCTAATGCTGACATCAATATAGCGTGCTTACTGAATGGGAGAAAACACAGAATTGTGATCACAAGATCATGTACAAATTTAATGATAAAAGCTTAGCAAGATACAAATACAAACAAAAGCAAACCCCCTGAAACCTCGACGTGAGTAGTATAGGAGGGACCGGTTACTCCGGTTTTTTGGGGAGGATTCTCATTAAGGTGGGGAGGAATACATTAACGCCGATGACGTCATAGGCTATTGTCTTGATCTCATGAATAAAATGCGCAGGAATCTCATTAAGATAAGGTCGTGTGCTATTTTAAGTTGGTTTAGGTTTTCTAGTTACTTTAAGGTCGATAAACGTCTTCGTTTTCTATTGGTTAGTTAGAAAATAAGAAAAGTTTTCGTTGGTTAATTCATAGTGCCTGAGGAGTGAAGTCAAACTTGTCTCTGACTTAAAATCACTGAGACGTAACGTAATTATGCAAGTTCTATTTCCTGCTGCTGCGATTGTCCTGGTTCCGGTTCACTGATTTTTGGCAGGTAAATCGTGCATATTAATGAGGGCAAAGGCCAACTAGTTCTTTTTTACACTGCAGACAATGTTTTACTCACCCCTCTCCTTTTCATTTTTGTTTTCCCTCCTCCTCCTCCTCCTCATTTTTGTTTTCCCTCCTCCTCCTCCTCATTTTTGTTTTCTCTCCTCCTTCTCCTCCTCCTCATTTTTGTTTTCCCTCCTCCTCCTCCTCCTCCTCCTGTACCCCTCCTGTACCCTTCCTGTACCCCTACTGTACCCCTCCTGTACCCCTACTGTACCCCTCCTGTACCCCTACTGTACCCTTCCTGTACCCCTCCTGTACCCTTCCTGTACCCCTCCTGTACCCCTACTGTACCAAAACAAAAATGAGGAGGAGGAGGAGGAGGGAAAACAAAAATGAGGAGGAGGAGGAGGAGGAGAAGGAGGAGAGAAAACAAAAATGAGGAGGAGGAGGAGGGAAAACAAAAATGAGGAGGAGGAGGAGGAGGGAAAACAAAAATGAAAAGGAGAGGGGTGAGTAAAACATTGTTTGCAGTGTAAAAAAGAACTAGTTGGCCTTTGCCCTCATTAATATGCACGATTTACCTGCCAAAAATCAGTGAACCGGAACCAGGACAATCGCAGCAGCAGGAAATAGAACTTGCATAATTACGTTACGTCTCAGTGATTTTAAGTCAGAGACAAGTTTGACTTCACTCCTCAGGCACTATGAATTAACCAATGAAAACTTTTCTTATTTTCTAACTAACCAATAGAAAACGAAGACGTTTATCGACCTTAAAGTAACTAGAAAACCTAAACCAACTTAAAATAGCACACGACCTTATCTTAATGAGATTCCTGCGCATTTTATTCATGAGATCAAGACAATAGCCTATGACGTCATCGGCGTTAATGTATTCCTCCCCACCTTAATGAGAATCCTCCCCAAAAAACCGGAGTAACCGGTCCCTCCTATACTACTGACGTGGGCTACACTTGTATGCTCTACTCAGTCACCAAACCTTGTCAGTAATAGCTCCTATTTTCCTCAAGTCGCTCTCTGTGAAGCTCCCGGATGGGATGTCCCGGTGAAGCTTTAAACGTGTGTGCGAAATTCTCAGAGTCCCTATTTTTGTCCGTGTCTTCTTTATCCTCAGTATCCGAAATTTAGACCTCCAAAGTGGCGTGTGCTGCATTAAATAGAAAGAAATATTTAAAGGAAAAGCCAGTCTTCTAACGTGGCAAAGTTGTCACGTCCTTCGCTCATGGACGTGCGTAGTGCCATTCATCGGCAACTGAGTTGTTCGCTTCACTGACTACGAAGGCTTACAATCAAGTCTTCAGCCATAGTGTCGTCAACTGGTGAAATACCTTGCTCATAAATTGTGCTTCTTAATTGCTCATGTACTGCATCGATCGATAATTCTCTCTTTGAGTTCACGAAGCGGCCACGGCGTTCCAAACCTGATGCTCACAGTCATCTTTTAGTGTAAACCTACCGTGAACGGCGTGTCGGTTTGAATGCAACGCGAGCATTTCTCTGAGTTTCCCAATGCCAACATCATCTAACTGACTTCAACTCGAACAATAAAAAAATTATAGAGTGACTCCCATGACCGAATCGCTTGGAACAACGCAAATAGCCTTCTTCAGGTTCGCAACGCTTTGTGGGTTTTTCAGGGTGTGAAGAGATAATTTATTGTTATTCAGTTATTTTGCTTTCGCTGATAAAAATATGAAAAGCCAATGTAGAAATCATTTATTCTTTAGTCTTAACTTCTTTTAGTCGTAAACAACCTGTTGATTTATTGAGCGTTAACTTATTTGTCAAGTCATAATTGTATTTAGTCTTCGGAGTGTAATCAACCTGTAAGAAGCCGTTATCCACCTGCGTAGCTTTTGGAAGTAATTAATGTTTCAAAGCAAACTTAGGTTTCCACCAATAGTCTTTTAGAAATGATTGTTGTGTTCTGTAATTTACCTCGCTAGTGCATGACCTAATCTGTATCGCGTCATCAACTTAGAGTATTTACACCAGTGTTTTGTAAGATTTTCTTTGGTTATGTTCCTGACTCTACCGCAGCATACTCTTGGATTAAACCTCTACATTGGAGCCAAGTTCTGTTGTAATCATTGTCTCAAGGGTATTCAGCAGGCGTAAGAGATTCCGTGCCTTCCCGCAGCCAGCGAGTGTCCCCAGGAAAAGGCCTTTCCCAGAGAGTTTTAGAGTTTTTCCCCGTCCGTCAGTTTACCCTTTTGTGAAGGCAAAACCTGTTTCCACACTGGTGTTAAAGTGAAAAACGTGTTTTCACACTGGTGGAGAATCCGGGCAATTACGCTAGGAATACCAGAGGCAAAGAAACCTTACAGAACAGGATGTAACCCCTTGGAGCAAGAGAGTACGCCCAAGTTAGTCCATTTAACTTGATGCCGAAGTTTTTCGCGAAAAGAAAAGAACCTTACAACCTAAGGAGCCGGAGTAAGAACCAAAGTACTCCGAAGTCGAAAGTAGACGCCTGCGTCGAGTGCGATTTGCCTTTCGACGAATCAAAAATAGCCCCAGAATTGAGGCGTGGGCCAGTTGCTAAAGAAGGAACTAGTTCAGAACCGTTGGAACCTTCTCACAAAAACTCTGTAACGTTTAACAAGACCAACTTGGAACCCGTGGATATTAGTGTAGATTCCGATAGCGACGACAGTCTTCGTGCTTTGGACCCACGACGCCTCAGAGCTCTCGTAGAATCTGAGGAAGAACTTTCTTCAGAAAACGAGAGAGAAAAAGAAAAAGAAAAAGAGAACTGTACGGATAACATTTTTGTAGCAGGTAGTCAACAGGTACCTGCGAGTACGTCACCTCCTACTGGTAGTACATCGCCTCCCAGTAATACAATACCACCTACAACCACACCTGTAGATCCTACAGTAATTGAACAACCAGAAGTGTTAAATACTACACCAATTGTTCCCGATAACGCTGCTGGTGGACAACCGTTACCAAATATTAATTCACCTGCTGATATTTACGAACACTTTTCCCGGAGGGTAGACTACAGAGATAACTTCAAAACGGGAACGCCTCCGAGTAGTAATTTGACTGGATCGCGTAATAAGACTGACAGAACCCCTGACGACTCTAGTGATAACGGTGAATGCGAATCAGCAACAAATATAGAGAGTTGTAACACGTGCGACGCTACAGGTACCATGCAAGCAGAGGAGTTAACTAAATTGCAAGACCAAATAATTGCATTACAACAAGAACTTAAATCACAACAAGAGAAAGCTCATGTCTTTCGTACAAAAACTATCAGTACCTTTGAGCAAACTCCGATTCCGGATGTATCCAGTCCGCACAGACCGACCGCATTTCACGGCTTTGACTCCGAGGATATAAATCGATGGCTGGATAAGGTGGAAAATTATTTGACACTACGCCGGATAGATACATCCACTCCTACCGCTTTGGCAGAACTTGTACTGAATCTTGCGGGGCCAGCTGAGGACTTTTATTATTCCCTGCCTGGGGATTGTAAGGATACCTTTACTAAGCTGCGTGATGCCTTGAAGGAAAGATTCACAAACGAAAACCAGAGCTGGATTATCTGGCAGGCAATTACTACCCGCCAGCAGGGACCTGTGGAGCCACTTGACACCTATTTAACTGATCTGACCGGAAAGTTTCGTCGAATCAACATTTCAGATGCCGATAAGTTGCGTTATTTTGTTCAAGGGCTAAGGGCCGATTTGAGAGAAACTGTTTTGCTAAAACAACCAAAGACTTTCCGGGAAGCGGAAGAAATGGCCCGCTTCGCATCCGCAGTTAAAACCACGATGAGCAATTCTAATGAAACCGTTACGATACAATTAAATAATTTAACGAAGACTTTGAACACTCTGGTAGCCAATAGTAACAGCCCAGTAAGTACAAATCAACAACAGTCGCTTCAAACCCAGGTTGAAACCTTGACACAAAAAGTGAATTCACTTATGCCTACAGTTACGAAGTCAGATAAAGTTGTCGCTTATTCCGAGCCACAAGTGGATTTCCAAAGTCACCTTGAGCAATTTATGAAGCGTATGGAAAATCAAATGACTAATTTGGAAAAGAGGATGGACGCACGCATCACTGGTCTCGCACAACGTCAGCGGGAGACACGTAACACTAGGGAGCGATCAAGAGATGGCCGACCCTGTTGTTATGTATGTGGTTTGCCTGGCCATTATCAAAACAGTTGTCCACAACGGAACAGCCGTGAACGTGAACGACCGCCGGTGGTCAGGTACGCGTTGCCTGCTCCTGATAACTATACTCAATATTCAAGTGGCCCTCAAGCACGACAGCGAGCCTTACCACCGCCACCACATCAGAGTCGAATAGCTGCCTTTCAGGACAGTACTCCAACCTCTTCCGACCATCCGGAGTTGCCTATATACGACTCTCCCAATTATGACTCCGTTGATTGGGATTATTATTATGATGATGCCATACCAGAAGCCACGACGAACAATTACTTTAACAGTCACCACGAACAGAGTTCACAAGACTTTAACGATGATGACTTCTATGGAGAGTGGGATTATTGTTATGATTATGAACCAGAAACTGAGCCGAGCAATAACATGGACGAGTTACATAGAACATATGAAGAAACACCGCAAACAGGCGTCTCTACCCTGGTCGAGAATTTACATAGTACAGTAACCACTGACCAGCTGTTATTGCCTCCTTTTCCGTTTCAAGATCCCGGTCCTTCTTCGTGGCCACCCGTCCTGGCCACTAATCCGGTGCCGACTGCAACAGCCATACGTAGTAAGACTGCTGACACTACAATACTGGGACTCTATCACCCAGCTGATCATGAGCCAAAGGTAGAACCAGCCATGACCTACCCGCCAGCACCAGTTGATATCTTGCCACCACCATATCCAGGTAAAGTTGGAGTGTATCCAATTCAGTATTTTGGAACTATCCCAAACCAGCGTTATCAGGTTACAATAAAGTAGCTCTTAGGATGGCTCAGCCACCACAGACCAAAGAGGTAAAGCAGAAGTCAACAGCCACTGCTTATAGTACCCTGAAAGCTGATAAGCACGTTACAGGAGATTCCAGCCGATCTCGCTATGGAGACCTTCCCACAGAAAACCCAACCGTTGTACATTCTGGGGAGAAGACAGTTCGGCTCAAAATGTCAGAGAATTGATCACAACTCAGGTCAGTAAAAAAGTGAAATCCTTAACCAATCAGGAAACAGACAGAACTACCAAGTTAGAACAGAACTACCATGCAGCTCCCGAGGCAATACCGAGTGACCAATCAAGTTTCCCTTGCCCTGAGATTAGACAGTCAAACCCTGATACTGGACAACCAGGTAGTAACCACTCCCTACGAGCGCAGATAGTTTCAACAGAGCCGAAAACCAGAAGAGCAACCCATTCTCAGCTTCATAAAGATTACCAGCAAGAAATTAAGGACGAGCTTACAAAAGTTATAAAGGATATGGAAGGAAATCTCTTGAACAAGATTACAATTTTGGAACGACGCTTGGAAGGAAACTTAAGACACAGTAAGGTACAACCATGGAAAAGGACTTGCTTTTATTGTGGAATGGTTGGCCACATTCAGATCAACTGCCCTCATCGTAGTTGCCAACAAGGGTCCTATAATTATAAAGTACGTCACAAGCCTGAGCGAATCCCGCATCAAGCCCCTACGTTTCAGCCGGCATACACAGCCAGAGACAAACCTCGTTGCCAAGATTCCGGAGAGGCACCATATGACGTCAACCACAACTCGACAAAAGTTGGAGTTATCCTGGACCAGCCAAAGGAAGTACTTAAATTGGGCCACCTAAACTCAGTTGCAGCAAACAGCTTCAAGCAAACAAGTTCCCAGATACCCAATGTGCCACCCGACTGCACAAATGCTTTAAATTCCCAGGAACAAGAGAAACCTAAGTACCAGCAGAATACCCTTATTTCCCCTCGTCAAACGCCCGGTGAAGGAAACCGCAACCAACGAGTCGCAACAAGTTGTACAGAAAAGTCTCCGTCTCAAAAGTTGACCAAGACAAAGATTTTAACAGACACTGACAGTGAAGAACTTAAGGATAGCAACATGATGATAACCGGCGATATAGCAGGTCAGGACGTTAATTTTCTTTTGGGTACCGGTGCTTGTGCCTCCATTATTGACGAGAAGCTACTAAACAAGATTTATGATCGAGGAGCAACAATATTGACAAATGGATCGGTACAGTTTGTTGAGACAATCACAGGGCAAAAGGTACCGTTGTTGGGAAAGGTCGAAATTCCTGTCAAAATCAATGGTGTTCTTTATCCCAGCTGTTTTCAAGTGGTACAGGGTTTTTGTCACGAAGCCATACTCGGTCAAGATTTCTTGCAAGCATACGGTGCAGTAATAGATTTCAAGAACAAACGTCTGAAATTAGAAGATACATCGTTGCACTTCAAGGAATTGTCAAGAGCAACAGAAGAATGTATTATCCCCACATACGCTCTTAGGTTTAGGAGAAATCAACGTTCAGCGCCTTTCCAAGCATCGCAGTCCAGAAAGACGCCCACTATTAGCAAAAACGCGGTGAAACCTCAGAAGACAGGCAAATCAGCAGCATTGCAGCTCAAGATTCCATTTATGTTCGAGAAGTTTATCGTCTGGTTCATGCTACTAATGGTCATTCACCTCTGCTTTGCTTCACAAGCTCATAATTTACCTCAAGTGCAACCAAAAACTCAAAAGCCCCACAACATGCACTACTACCGCCAGTCTGCAGAGAAAGAATTGTTTCCATTCCCTAAATATGATGGCAGATTGACAATCGAAACTCATACACATAATTGGCATCAACCAGTGTCTTCCACAAAGTTCAAGTACAATTTTCCGCTGCTGAATGATGACCCTCCCGACGCCTTACTACGAACGATCTCACCAGTAAATGACAATGGCCATCCACTAACAGAGAAAGCGACCTTCAGAAGAGGAAATAGTTAGTGTGTAATTTCTAAGAGTCCAAGATATATGAGATAGAATAACGAATACACCGTTGAGTAAAACTGAATCAATTAAGATAAGTCCGTCCAAGCCAGAGAGAAGGCTCGAATAAGGAGAAACATAATAAGGAATTAACAAACAGAATCGAAGAATCGAGAATTGAGAAGTACTACATGAGAGTTTGGGTAACTTTAAGTGTGAGAGTTTTAAGCTAAGAAACGAGCGCTTGAAACGTATATAATAACCTTTTAGTAGCTTCGCGGGGTAAGAATGCATGTAAGTAATTGCCCTCAAAAGGCGCAAATTTTGAGGTACATTAATCTTTATATAGATCAGCTTTTATTTTCATTGAACCCCCGAGGCCACTATATTTAGGCTAGTTCGGTTTATGCCGCGGTTCAGGCACAAAAAACAAATACAAAATTTTCAAAAAAACAGAAAATCAAATATAAAATTTCAACATAAACGTAAGTTTTAATCTTTTAATTCGCTGAGCATTTTTCTTAAGTTTTCTCGTATATTTTAGATCGTTTTTTTTCTCTAATCAGCTGAGGACAGCTGAGACTTAAGGTGGGAGGAATGTGAAGAGATAATTTATTGTTATTCAGTTATTTTGCTTTCGCTGATAAAAATATGAAAAGCCAATGTAGAAATCATTTATTCTTTAGTCTTAACTTCTTTTAGTCGTAAACAACCTGTTGATTTATTGAGCGTTAACTTATTTGTCAAGTCATAATTGTATTTAGTCTTCGGAGTGTAATCAACCTGTAAGAAGCCGTTATCCACCTGCGTAGCTTTTGGAAGTAATTAATGTTTCAAAGCAAACTTAGGTTTCCACCAATAGTCTTTTAGAAATGATTGTTGTGTTCTGTAATTTACCTCGCTAGTGCATGACCTAATCTGTATCGCGTCATCAACTTAGAGTATTTACACCAGTGTTTTGTAAGATTTTCTTTGGTTATGTTCCTGACTCTACCGCAGCATACTCTTGGATTAAACCTCTACATTGGAGCCAAGTTCTGTTGTAATCATTGTCTCAAGGGTATTCAGCAGGCGTAAGAGATTCCTTGCCTTCCCGCAGCCAGCGAGTGTCCCCAGGAAAAGGCCTTTCCCAGAGAGTTTTAGAGTTTTTCCCCGTCCGTCAGTTTACCCTTTTGTGAAGGCAAAACCTGTTTCCACACTGGTGTTAAAGTGAAAAACGTGTTTTCACAAGGGGGAGCGCAGACGAGGTACAAAAAGTATCCGTGCAAGGGTTCGTGCAAGAGAAAATCATATGAAACCATTAGTGAGAACATCGTTTCTCGGTACCAGACCCTCGTGTCTTCCCTCCCCTGGGAGGCCGTTTTTCGCCGCAGACGACCGAAAGCGCATTTTATGACTGGGCCGCACAGGCAGCCCAGTAAAAAGTATTCGTGCAAGAGTCCGTGCAAGAGAAAATCATATGAAACCATTTGAGAGAAAATCGTTTCTTGGTACCAGACCCTCCTGTCTTCCCTCCCCCGGGAGGCCGTTTTTCGCCGCAGACGACCGAAAGCCCATTTTATGACTGGGCCGCACAGGCAGCCCAGTAAAAAGTATTCGTGCAAGAGTCCGTGCAAGAGAAAATCATATGAAACCATTTGAGAGAACCGAATTTCTGACTGGGCTTGCCGGGCAGCCCAGTAATTAAGCTTATCGAAATGGTTGAACTACACGAAAGAATGCCAGCGATGCGAATATCAAGCGACAATCCCGCTAAAATTTTTCATAATTATTCATAATTATGCGAATGTTTAGACAATCAACCAATCAAAATCACTACCCGACTTTCGGGTAGTGAGTGACGTCACTGAACGGCGTAAACGGCCCGTCGATTCAGACGTTGTTGAGAGGAGAAAACGACTCGAAGCAACCGGATGAATTTCAAGCTAGGGCAAGCAATCAGTAGATTAAACTAGGATATCTAAAAGATAGTAATGCTGCGGTACATTCTGTTGATACTGGCATTAGTTAGGCAGTGAGACTTAAAAGAATCGTAAATGACATTGAATGTTCTATTTACATGTTGGAAAGTACTAGAATATTTACTATCAGTCTATAGAAAGAACTCGTGGGAACGTTGTTTAGAAAATGATCAAGTGGTTATAACTCTGGTTTTCCCACAGTAAATTGTAGGAAATAATAGAAATTCAGATTGTTTATCCATATATTTAATATACGGTGCACGATATTTTCTCTGGAAACACAATACTTTTCTTGCTGTTTGTTGCACTTTATCAAGTAACAGTTATTTGGCTATATATTTATAGAAAACAACAACACAAAAAACGGAAAAAAAAAAAAGAAAGAAGGAATGAAGAATTCGGTAAGACTCGAACCTTGCACCATCGGCTCGACGCGACTACTCCTACGATTACGTAATTGTAGGAAAAGTCTTGATTTTATTCCTTTTCCATGAAACTTCCACCGGCAAGATTATCGCCAGCCGCATTAACCGAGCTATTAACATTGAAAAAACAATGTAAACGCATATTCCATGGCAATGAATGAATGAAAGAACATAATTATGCTTTTCAAAACGCCGATACACGTCCTCGTCTACCAAGTAGGACACAAAACATATGTTTTGTTTTCTCGGTTTCCGCTGTTATTTTGAAGCGACTGGTCAAAATCACATCCATTTTCGGCTCATACAGTTTCTTAAGAATAGCACTGCATGACATTTTCCCACTTTCACATCACCTTCTAGCAAGCTGGAATTTGTATATCCCCCGTGTTGCGGAGTCGAAGAGCAAATGCTCATCTTCTCGTCAGGTTTAACACCTGGACGAGTCAAAGGCTCTTGAATTGAAATCCAATCCCCAAGTTACCCATCGTACTCATCTGAAAGACTCCTGCGTGTCTTAAAATTTGGTAAGACCTCTAACCGTGCTGTAGAAAATTTGCCACAAAGAAAACTCTAAGTCTGAGCAGCGAACGATGCACTCTCTCACCCACCGAACTTCCCCGTGTTTTTCTTTGAGTTGTTCGTGGCGCAATGCACTCTGGTTAAATGCAATGCATTGTGGTAAAAAGTGTGGTTAAATGCAATGCATTGTGGTAAAAAGGGATGAATTCGAGAATTCGTACCCCCTTATATATTTCCTTTAAATCCTGATTATGTTGCTGCTCGCTCCCTTCGGTCGCTCCGCAGCAATTTTTTTTTTTTTCAGTCCTCCAATCACTCACCGACACAGCACTACCTATTTGGAGAATTAAACGTTTCCGGGAAACTGCCCACCTACTCCTCCCCCAAGCCAACATTAACACTTTCTTATCACTTAGGGCAAAATGTTGGCTTAGCGGAGGGGTAAGTGGGCAGTTTCCCAGAAACGTATAATCCACATTTTTTTTTTTTACCAAACACTTTTAGCCAGTGCATTTATTATCCTGATATTTTTTTCTCTTACCATTGATGAATAGGACTTTAGGCATAACTCAAACTCTCTCTGATCTTTAGACAACTCTTCAGAAGAGGTCGTCCTATTCAGACCTTCTTTTTCTCCTACCATCTGCACATGATTAACTACAGCATTAGCAGCTTCGGAAGACATCTCGCAGACAAATTTCAGAACAGCATCTATCGTCTTGACTCTTTCAAAGGAGTCGACTTTTGCTAGATGGCCAAAGAGTGTTTCCTTTGCATTCTTCGTATTCCAAACAATGAACAAGGCAGACAAAAATTCCTGAATCGACTTATGAAGAAAGAACGCCAGTTTCTCACGATGAGGAGAGACTGAAAGGTTAGAAGTCTGTAGAAAGCCAAAATCGATAAACTTCTCGAGGAATAACCGAATGTCCTCAGGCATGTTGCTAAGCTTGAAATAAAGACAGTCATTTAAAAGTGCCCGCCAGGCAAGTTCCCCCAACTTTACGAGGTCTTCCCTGTATTCATCCATGCTTCTAAATGTCTCATCTGAGGTTTTTGCGGTCACGTGATCAAGCAGCGTCTGGCAAAATTTGTAATACAGGTCTGACCGGGATGTTAATGTTCCCTGATATTTCTTCCAGCTTAGAACCAAAGTTAACAGGAGAAGAGGTATTTCCGCCACCTCCCACAGGTCGCGTTCATCCAAGAATTCTGTGAACTTTTTTACTTCCGTTTGGTCACGAAGAAACTTGCGAGCAAACTTTTTAACTTGCGAATCATCAAACCCATTAATTTCAAACTGAAAATGACTTCCTGGTCTTAACTCATCTTTTTTCCGCGGTCGTGTCGTCACAAGAAGAGTGCAATCTCTCAACTGAATGCCTTTCCAAATCTGATGGACTGGTGATGATCTTTCGGCGCTATATTCATCATAACCGTCTAAAATAAGTAGGACTTTCTGTTGGTTACGAAGAATGTAATTGTACAATTGGCTAAACACCATAGGGTCACCTGCGGACAACAGCTCGGCCTTTTGTAGCATGGCACGGAAGTCTTGCGTGTTGCAAACATCTCGGAGCTTGATTAAAAGTACAACAGCAAACTTCTTTAGGATTTCTTTATTACCTCGTGACCAGTCAACGGCGAGTTTCTTTGTCAACGTCGACTTTCCTATTCCTGGCCTCCCGTACACTAAAATTCTCGTAGGAATTAAATGATGACCATGGCTTGCGAATAGCTCACTGTAATCTTGAAGCCTTTCTTTTGTTGTTCCAGCAAGTTTTCTGCTATCTCTTAGCAGTGTTAACTGTACATACACCTCATCAATGTCCATGGTGTTATCTCGATCCCAAGGAGTAATCATTAACTGGCTCGCGGTACTGTTGTAGAATGAGCACAGTTGATTTTGACTCCACTCGCAAAAAGCACTTTCAGCATCTGTTTACAAAAGAGTAAATCTCTTTAAAATTTTAGCATCTCCAACAAATTGAGCATTATTCGTGGTAGCAGTGATAACGGCAGTTTATATTACGGTCATTTTCATCTAAGCGTAGATATTCACTCTTACGAAGTGAAAATAGAGACAAATCTCAGGTTAACACGAGAGCAAGACGCGTGATTCTGCTTGCGAGGCTGACTTTTGAACAATTTTTGACTTAAAGATTTCCAAATTTTATACTGTTAATTTACATTGTGCTGGCCACCTCTTGTAATTTAGTATTTTAAAACATCAAAATGTCATTATACTTTTAATTCGTTTATCGACGTCTACATTTGACTGTAGAAACGTTTGGTGGTGTTGTTGTTGTTGTTGTTAGTAGCTAGTCAGACAAGTGAACTAAAAAGCGGAAGCGCACATTGCTCTCTTCTGTACACGTTCTAATTCTGGCATTAAATATTTAGGCAAACTGCGGTACCGCATAGTTCATAATTGACCTTATACAACTAGAGTAAAAGAGCCCTAAATCAGTGCGAGGCATAGTTCATAATTGATCTAATACAACTAGTGTAAAAGAGCCCTAAGTCAGTGCGAGCAACCTTAGCTCTCTTAAGTTGAACCAAAATATATAATCTCTGAAGGTTTTCTTAATAGTTTCATTAATATGAATATTCCAGGTCAAATCACTGGAAATGTTAACAATTTCTACCACTTCTAAAGTATCGCCATAAATGAGAATGGGCTTAAATTCTTGCTGGGACTTTGTAAAAGATATTCGCGATTCTTTACACTTATCACTATTCAGCTGGACTCTATTATCTAGTGACCATTGTAGTACTCTATCTATAGTACGTTGGGCGTTGCTAAGTTCCCTCTTCGCAACCGTTTCGGAGATAGTGGTATCGTCTACATATTTCCATAAGCGTGCATTTTCGACTACAAGGTCATTAATCGTAATCAAACAAAGCCAAGGCCCTAATTTGGTTCCCTGA